TTTATCAGAGTACTAAAACAAAGATTCATGAGTCCGGTTCTATGGCCACTGGATTCTAATGGTCACGGAAGCCACTGCCCCCTACGGAGCTACGTTCATAAAATTGATGATTCCTACCCCCTCTAACCCCCCCGGGAACCCCCCCCCCCNTAAGTCCCGACCCAAACTAATCACCTCACCTACGTCAATTGCACCTCGTAAGTATAATTGATTTTAAAGTCAAAAGTTTTGACTTCATACTAACGAGGTGCAATTGACTTTAAAATAAAAAATTCTTAAAAACAACACTTTATAAATGAAGAAATAATTAGTTTAATGTAAAAAGTATTACACTTTACATCTCACAACGCACATTTGTCTATACCTCTTCATCTCAATCTCCCCCGGCATAATCCTAATTATTTGGAATTTGTGACAAAAAACATTCATACTTTACAAACTTAATATCGATAACATATCTTACTCAATTTTTTTAATTACCTATCATTATTCATTATTGCAAATATATTATGCATCTACATTTCAGATTATTTGTCTAGTTTAAACTTTTCTTCTCAAACAACAAAACTTTTACGAGTAATTGTCAACTAAATAAATATGACACTACGCCACTACATATTAATGCAAAAAATAAGTCAATAAAAATTACCTTACAAAAAACTTGAAAAAATAATGATTCCTCAATCCCAATTTAAATTACTTGTTTCAGTTTACGATGTTTGACTAAAATTATTTTGAAATCATTTTATATACGTAATAAAAAATAGTGTAAAATTAAACAAAAAATCATATTTAAAAACTAGACCAAAAGATCTATAAAACTAGTAGTGATATGACTATTATTTTATCAAATGAGTAACGAAAATAGAGAAAGAAAATGAATAAAATTTAACCTTGTGAATAGTAAACAGACAAATTAATTTGAGACAAAAGGAGTAGTCTATTGCATCAATACATAACACAACTTTAACTAATTAATAATGAAATCTTATCTAATTTAACTATAAAAAACAAACAAGGCAAATAACTTCAATGGGACAAAAAAGTTACAAATATGTCAACTTGAAATGAAAAAACTACGACAACCAAAGCCAACCAAGTTTTGACATTAGTTCATAAGTTTCTCAACTTTCCTCCTCAACCCACCTAACTCTCTCACCCAAACAAAAACCACCATACCACTTCTCCTTCCAACCAAACTGGTAACAAATGGGTGCCCATTTACCAATCCACCCAATTTATCTAATGGTCGGGCTTTTTTGGGGAATAATAACAATTCACAGTTTGTCCTTAGTACACACACACACAGTCACACACGCATTGGTAGAGAATCATATCTTCCACAGTGATAAAGTAAAACTGCTATAGATGGAACAGTACACAAGCATGGTACGAAGACATTAGGAATCCTCTTCTTGCCACAGAAATGGAATTAAAGTCAAGAGTACAATAAAACATAAAATCTTGTCTTAATACATGAAGAGTATAAAATGGACTCCTATAAATTAAGGATCAAAATTGTCCCAAAATTTTGTTTCTTTTTCGTTTCTTGGGTGGGACGAGTGGAGGTGTATAACTTTGTTAAATAATGATTTTCCCTAAGGTGAAAAATTAGTACTCCGTACTATATATCTTCCCTATGCCAAAACTGATCAGACTTTGTAACTAGTGTCAAACTCTATGCAAAAACCAAGATGGAAAGCAAAAACCGAACCTTCTTAATGTGTCTTAGAGTTTCTTGCTCTGCAGATCATTTTGGGCAGACCTGGTTTCACATGATGATGAAGGACATGGATTATAGCAGGAAGAGATATCGATTCCCGCAACCTCCATGGCATTGCAAACCCAGTCAGGAACATCTCCCTCCGGGAACTACATGCCAACAACATTATCAGAACTTGAATAATTTTATGAAGGAACTAAAACATTATTTCCAATCCAGCTAGTTTACAATAAGATATTCAGTGAGGTGAGAGATGAAAGATTGATTCTCTTTGTTTAAAAAATATATATCAAAATCCAGAAAAGGAGACCACCAGTCTACATGTTACTGAAGATTGATTCTCTTTGTTTAAAAAATATATATCAAAAGTATTGTAGACAAATGCTTGGTATTATGATTTTCGATAAAATATGTTGATCTTACTCTGATATTCATAACCTGAAGATTACTTAATGAATGAATGTGGGGTATGTTTCCTTATGAAGGGGAAGGAATTCTTCGGCAATTTCTTGGAGTGATAACCATAAGATCATAGTTGTCACGACGTCGCCTTGACTTCGGCAATTGACCTTGGTGATAACCATAAGATCATAGGGCTAGGAAGAAGGACCTTCATATAGTGTTTATTGACCTTGAGAAGGCGTATGATAGGGTGCCAAGGGAGGTCTTATGGAGGTGCCTTGAGGCGAGAGTTCCCATCGTGTACACCCGCGCGATCAAGGATATGTACGATGGGCCTATGACCAAGGTAAGGACTTCCGGGGGCGACTTAGATTCTTTCTCGGTAGGGATGGGGTTGCACCAGGGGCCTGCCCTTAGCCCTTTTTTGTTCGCCTTGGTGATGGACATCCTAACTCAAGGTGCCCTTAGATAGGAACCTTTGGAAAACTAGGATTAGAGTAGCTGAATAGGAGCTCGGTGTTGTAGAGGTTGTTTTGTAGTGTGTTGTATTTGTTAGGAATCTTCTGCTATTGCTTGTACGTGTTGCTTGTACTTGGTACTTTATCTGTGTTATACTGTGTTCCCTTCCATATTTTTGTGCAGGTGGAGCCGGGGGTCTCTTGGAAACAGCCTCCCTACTTCCGAATAGGGGCAAGGTCTGCATACACACACCCTCCCCAGACCCTACTGTTGTGAGATTCACCTGGGTTGTTGTTGTGGTTGTTGTTGTTATACTAGTGTTTTAATGTATATCAATTCTTCTATATTATGTGTCGCCTAGGCGGTCGCCTGGTTGGTACACCAACGCCGCACCTCCCCTTGGCGCCGTGACAACTATGCATAAGATAAGTACAATGAGTTGTGTATGAGTGATTACCATTTTCTGCAGAAACTGACATACATAACTGCAAAAAAAGTACAGTGCATTATTTTTTGAGATAAATCAAACAACACAAGCCAGAGATCTGTAGAGTTAAAGGTAGCATACTCTGGAAACCGTCCTTCAACAATTGACGAGTGTAAATCTCTGCTAAGCTGCACGGTTAAAATATTGCATGGTATGAGTTCAAATATGCAATAATCATAAATGTAAAAGGAAAACCTCTTGTTGCGTGGGTAGATAGTAGATAGTAGATACCTTCATCATGTAATAAAGATTATGATATGACAACAGCTGAGAACCCATGGCATCTTTTGTGACAAGGGAATGAATATAAGCTCTGGTATACCTTCTGCATACCTGTAGAGTGATAATTTCAGAAATATAGAATGACGATATATGCAGTAAAACCAGAGACATAATAATATCAAGTGTTTGGAACTCAGAAAGAACTACGGAGAAAACATGAAGGAAATTAGAGAGGAAAGTGTGGGTCTGTTGGTTTGTTCCAAACACAACAAATTCATTTTAGATATTTGTTCGAACTCAGCTTATTTGTTTGCTTCTATTATCTACTGTATTATAAAAAGACTAAAGAAATGTAACAACAACATGCTCAGTAAATTCCCAAACAGCGGGGTCTAGCAAGGTGTCTGTACACCCTTGGCCGGAAAGTTGAGAGGTTGTTTCGAATGGATCTCAACTCAAGACATAGGATCACAACAAAGGAAAGATCATGAAACCGTAAGTCATGTCTAATCACCTTTTTCCAACCCTTCTTACTTCTTAGGTCTACCTCTAGCCCTCCTCACACAGCCCAACAACAAGCCTCTCACACCTCACCAGTGGAGCATTCATACTTTTCTTCAATATGTGTCCAAACAATCTCATTCTAGCTTCCCACAACTTATCTTCCACAAATACAACTTCCACCCATCCCCAAAAATTATGAGAAAATAAAATATTAATCATTGTTTATTCTTTTTTGCCTTGTCCGACATAAAACAAAATAGAAAAATTAATTTTATAGACACTTTTTCTCTTCCCTCTAGCATTATCTGTGACCCGAACATACCATACAATCACAAGTAGGATCAATTGGACGGGTGTCACCAGCCATGGCTTGATGTTTAAGCTTCAGAACTCCCTGCATTCCAGATACAATGAATGTGGTTATGGCAGGTGTAACCTAATTGACTAGAGATGATAGATCTATAATAAATCGTCACCTCAGGCACTAGAGCAGTGCCAAATCGAGCAGTGCGAGTAGGATACACACAGTCATACATGTCAGCACCCAAAGCACTGCAAACTACAATGTCCAAAGGGTATCCAACACCCTGGGTCATAGGCAAACAAGGTATCATAAAATAAATCAGACACGGGACGAAACAAGAAGGTTCAGTAACAACAACACTAGCAGCAGCAACACTTCCTCCGTAGTACTTCTCCATCTATAGTTTTTGGTTTGACTTAGCAAATAGTTTAAGAAAATGAAATTATGCAGTTGAGAGTTATCCAAAAACAAATGGACAAATATGAATAACACCTTCTTTCCTTAAAAGGAAAAAGAAAGATTGGTTTGGGGGATACAAAAAAAGAAAGCAAGAAGATTAAAAGGGGGCAAAGGGAGTAGCAACTATTGCTATCATTTTTTCTCTTAGAACTGAAACATACCATGACATATCGAGGTTTATCCTCGGGCAGTGCAGCTGTACACTGAGCCACAACACACCAAAATGAGTCTTTATCTTCACCACCCGCAAGCCCACCAATAGCATAACTGTGACAGATGTAAATTTTGTCATTACGCTCCATAGTTATCAGTGACACACGCAATAACATAGTTGAAACAGAAAACTAGCTAGCCAAGCTACCTAGTGCAAAGTTAGTTTTATAGAGATAACAAGATGATGAAAGGGGAATTTGAACAAACCCGATTGTGACTGTCAATCATGCTTTTGTCAGTCTTTATGGGGTAAGTTCGTATTGAAAACCTTTGAAATTCCAATGCATCTGCCACCCAAGGCCATGCATGAAATTATATTATAGTTCTAAGACACCCCCCCGCCCACAGTAATACAATTCTTATAATATCTTAAATGTAGTAGAGCATAATTCAGAAGCATTCTAAAAAGATATAAATGCGATGAGGTAGAAAAATATTGCGCATTTCTCATTTGTTTTAGGAGTAAATATAGCAGATGTTGTGAGGCACAAACAAGAACAAATGAACAATCTAGGGGTAAATATTTATAAACTACGAAGGAAATGTTGAAAATGTATCTCCACTCTTTTGAGAAACTAACAGACACTTTAGTTCAAATGTGCATGTTAATTAGGATCTGAAATGATTAAATTCAATTATTGCATACAACAACAACAACAACCCAGTTAAATCCCACAAGAGTAGGGTCTAGGGAGGGTGTGTGTACGCAGACCTTACCCCTACTCGAAAGTAGAGAGGCTGTTTCCAAAGAGACCCCCGGCTCAACGTCGAAAGTTGCATTGCTTGACTAACTGCTACTTCATTAATTAAAGAAGCGCAGACAGTTTAGAGATCTATTTTGATTTATTCCATCACACCCCAAAGCCAAAAAATGGTGAAATTTTGGAGTTAAAACATACCCAGGCAAATTGCGATCAACCAGACCCTTGACACAGATATCCCTAATTGGAAAAAAATAAGTTATAATTATAAATAATAGCTTCATCAGTTCATAGATAGGTATAATAGCATTGACTAATGGATATGAGCATTTAAGTGAAGTCACCTTAGCACGGGATCTAAACCACCTTGGACAATGCCAAATAAATTCTGATCATGTGGTCTTTTGTGAGCTGTCCAATTTACAATGGTAGACATTTTATTAAAAGAAATAGAGGGAATGGGAAATATAATGTCTATGTTTTCCAATCTATTGCAACATACTGAGCCATTTCTTATGAGTTCACATTGTTGGCAAAATATACATTTTATAATATTACAAACATGCGGAAAACTGCAAATTCTCCTTGAATATAATTGGGCATGATTCTAATCACTGGATATGCAATTAATAAGCTTGCTCAACCTATTTATCTGAAAAAGCTTGGTGAATATTACATATCATATTACCAGCTATGCACCTGTCTATCCAGCGAAGAGTTCGATACATAGCCTCCTCAATTCTTGGACCTGTTATTGTGGTTTTTACAACATCATCAAGAGCCATGATAATATCGGCTCCTATTCGGTTCTGCATTAACAAGTGACAGAGTGATATTAAAGGGAAAGACCCATAAAAAATTGTAGGGAACATCCCAACACAACATAAGAACATTGTCACATGATAAATACAGATTTCCAATTGTTATCCTCTATGGGGTCAAATTATGTATATGTGAGGACTAAATATGTTACACTTTAATTTGTAAGAAAAAAAAACTAAATTTGGCTAATTTTGGATTTGAGGACCAAAAGACAAAAAGACATTATAGTTAGAGAGCAGATCCAGACAAACTTTGACAATAAAGAACCCAGATGCAATGTCTATGGTCTAAGAGAATCACAAATAAGCTTAGTAAAATGGTGCAGCCAGACTTAATTGCAGTAATAGTAAAAATATGATGGGACAATGCTAGAGAATATCCACAACAGCTGAGTAAGTCGAATGGTATGATCAAGGGGTGTATTTATAGGGTTTACATATGATGGGTGTTGATTTCCATTTCTAGCATAAGGTACCTACTTGTATGTGTATCGACTCTTCAGGTGTAAGAAGCATTGGTTTCCCATCCACAGGAGACTGCAAAAGCCCAAAGAAAGTTTGCTTGTTGTTACCAATAACATGCAAGAAGATATTGATGCAAAATTTGTAACTTAATGCTGTTCAGTATTCAAGCACAAGCATGATCAATTTGTTATGCACTTGTCCCAAAATTTATCATCAACTGACATTAGATGTTTCTACGAGTAAAATTTCTGTGTGTTTCGCATTGTTCCTCAATTTATAGCCGCTATATATCTAAGTGTAAACTGGAATAAGTCTTGTTGGAATAAAAACTTTATCAGGAACCCAGTAAATGGGCTGGGATTGTTTAACAGCATTTTGCTCTCAGCTTATAGAGGAGCTCATATTCTTGCAGCAAAGCTTTTCACTTTCTACTATTCTTACTTTGGCCTCGGAAAAATACATTAACACTGAGTTTTTTTAGATCGGGCATCACTATTACATGATTTCACACATGAATAGAGTGAACCTTCAGGCTGGGGGATGCTGACGCAGACTAGCTTTGTCAATACATTATACTCCCTTTGGCCCAATTTAAATTGCCTGTTTTAGTTTACAATGTTTGAATGAAGTTTTTTTAAATCATCTTGTATGAAAAACGGTGTGGAATTAAAAAAATAAAAATTACATATTTAAGAACTACATCAAAAGATCTACAAGACTAGTGGTGACATGACTATATATTATTTTATCAAATAACTAATGAAAATAGGAAAAGAGAGTGAATGAAGTTTGACCCTATGAATAGTAACAGCCAACTTGACAAAGGGAGTACATTAATTTCAACTAGAGGTTCTATTCAAACTGAAGTAACTGAACTGCAGAACTTTTAATAGACATGTATGAGAGCATAAAGGAATGAACTACCTGAAAAGTTACACCCTCTTCAGTAATATCAGCTAAATGTAATAAAGAAACCTGAAGACAGTGATGCGTTATTGTTGTTTTTGCCACAAAGCCATGGAAATAACACACATCAACCAAAAAGTAAACAATCAAAGTATGGGAGTAACATATAATGGCATTGAGTACAAAGGCAATTTAATAGACAACCATTTGAAAGCCTCCTGAATCAGTCAGTAAAGCCCTTGGCCAGTTCATAAATTTGTGGAGACCCCCAAGCTCATCAATAAGTTCAGAGGTAGGGCGTAGTTCCAGGTGGTAGGTGTTTCCAAGTATTATTTGACAGCCAATGTCTTGAAGCTGGTTGGTGGTCAAGCCTTTTATGGTCCCTGCAACCCAAAAACATAATTTTTAAGTACTTTTAAGAATACCCTTAACAGAAATAAAACTAATGCAACCTGACCTTGAGTTCCAACAGGCATAAAAAGAGGAGTTTGGCACACATGATGAGGAAGTGTGAGACGGGCTGCTCGAGCACGATTGAACTTCCCAATAATCTGAAATGAGAAAGATGCAAGAAAAGCTCCTTATATTGCGAAACTAATAAACCACACCAACTTAGGACATTTGTAAGTTTATTCTAAATAAAACAAAAAACAAAAAAGCGGGAAAAAGCTTCATATATACTACTGGGAACAGACAATATCAATATCCGTGATGTAAAGATACCATTCAACGAGCACCATTAATGAAGTATCCATCATATTGATTTTAAAGGGATGAAATATCAAAGAGCAATACCTCAAATTCAAGAGCCGAACACTTATAGCGCCTCGCCAGCGGCATATTTCCCAGGCTAAAGCAACTAAATTGACGGTATTGAGAGAAACGGCATAAAATTCAAAAACCTGCGCAACTGAAATAGATGTTACCTTGAGATGATCGACCGGAGAAACAAGATAGGTTTTGACGTAAGTGCGTTGAAGCAAAATTCTAGTGCCATTCAAAGAAACATAGAGCTAATGGTTGAATGGACACTTTGGAAGGTGTTGCGGGTCTTGGCCGGCGGCGGCTGCCGGGTGCAGAGGTTGTTCCCACTCCTTTAACGAGTGCCCTAATTTGAGCTTGGCGGCATGGCGCGCAGGTTGCCGTGAATTTGTATTTTTGTATTCACAGGGGTCTTAATTATAAATAGTTTCAAATTGATAATTAAAATAATTTTGAATAATTAAATTATATAGATTAAACTTTTCATTAAAATACATATATTACAAAAAAAAATTACTTTGACTAATTAAGATATGTCAAAAAATGTGAACATTGAGAAAAACAACGACTTGTCATTGTAGAGCATGTCACCCCACTAGAATGCCATTGCGAGACAATGTTGTTTTTTCGATTGGTTGAACTATAACACGTTAGCGTGTGACATTCCTGAATATGTTTTGTCATTGTTCTTGCTCTGAATATTTTCAAATGACTCATATCTCACACTTTATATAAAAAATGTTAATAAAAAGAAATTCCCCTAAATTTGAGTAAAAATGTATATAAATGTCAGAATAGGGGTCTCAAGCCTTTTAAAACAAAAATAAAAGTATAATGTTAGTGTGGTGTGGGAGTATGCATTGACAGCGTGATAGACAAATGATGAGAGTGTAATATGATAGTGTGATTAGTCAACTATCGGTGATCGATATTGACATTGTGGTGGCGGATGACGACAGATGGTAGTATGACAGTGAGAGTATGACAATTGTAATTTGACAACGTGGTGAGTTGACAGTGTAAGAATGATAATGCAAACTTTTATTTTGATCTTAAAATACTTAAGACTCATATTTTGGTTTTTTTATATAGTTTTTTACTCTTTGTCCTCGAAGTTATTCCTTTAATAAATATAGTAGTCCGTTAAATTTCACTCCATCCATCCCTCAATGTATGTCATTCTTCAAGTATGTAAAATTTCACCACTTTTAAAATTACTTTAGTTATAAATTAGTATAAAAATAAAAACTATAAATTATACCTTTCAAAATTGCATAAAAAAATTACAAAATAAAATATGAAAAGAATATGTTTTTATCAAATGCTACATAAAAATATGCAAACAAATAATAGAAATCACTCTAAATAGGACTAAAACATATAGAAAAAAACAAAAATAAGACTTTCATGTTTTTTTCCCGAAATAGAACTTAGCACTGTGATAATGTGACTTTGCATTGTGGTAATGTAAGTCCTATTTCGAGAAAAAAATATGGAAGTCCTATTTTGGTATATTTTCAATGTTTTAGTCCTACTTTGGTCTTTCTCCCAACAAATAAACATTATACTGTATTTAGAATGACAAACACGTGGCAGCCATACAAGACTACAAGCTTGCCAGCTGGCGACGAAATAGTCCAAGTGGGGGCGGTGAATGTGGCCATAAAAAGTGAAGAAAAAGTTTGATAAATTTGTACACTTCACCGGTCAGTCGGGCTGCGTCTGATCCCACTCTTTGCCAGAATCAATCAGTAGCGACTAGAGAGCAATAGTAAAAGATGCAGTCGGGGATGACGCATGGTCTCCTTCCCCCCAATTTCAACCGTCCCTTCTTCAATCATCATCCATCTACCACATCTTCGCTATTGGGGTAACAAAAACAAATTCGTTGCTATTATAGTTCGAATGCAGGTTACAGTGAGGTTCAATCGGTTTTAGCTCCATTTTTTCGCTGTAATCATGCTTGACGGTTTTTGGGCAGTCTGAAGTGGAGTAGAAAAGCTTCGTCGGAAAATTCAGGCCGGAGGTTTCTCAGGAAGGTTAGATGAGAGGATCATCATCATCATTCAGTTAGTGTTGTGAATTTTGAAACTCATGAGCGCGTATTTATGTGGCTTTTCCTTTGTTTTTAAATGTAGTCAGCTGAACTTCACAGTCATACAGAGGTCATTGCATTTGCTCGTCGTGGAGCTGAAGAACCTCGTTTGATCGAGGTAGATTTCATTCATCAATGGATTATTATCATGTCTATATATTTGCATATCCACAAGTTTGGTTTCCAGTTTCGGAGTGAGGAACACTTGATCTCAATTTGCCAGCTTTATTGAATCTGGTATTTGTACTTCGGAATGAAAATCTCACATCATTCTTGCTCTTCAGATCCTGAAGTTGCACAAATTGATAAGTAACTCAAGTCCTCTCTCTCTTGAATGAGCATTTTTAGTTGGCACTCTGTAATTGATATTATGAGCATTTTAAAGAAGCACTCCATATTTTTGAAAGAGTTTATTTTACTTATTTGAAGGTAAATGCTGTCTTTAAATATGTTTTTGTATGCTTACAGTTTAACTGTTAAATATGTTATGTATATATTTAATATTAATTATGTGATCATTCTAATTATGGTAGTTTACATGTATAGGTTTCCTTAAGTAATTAGGAATCCTTTGTAACTATATATACGAGGCTTCTCCCTCATTATTCCTGAATATAGAAAATAATAATTCTTCATGGTATCAGAGCCTCTCGTTGCTCTCCGCCTTTCGTTCAACCTAGCGCAGGCAAAACCCTAGCCGCGCCATCGCCGTCTCTCTCTCTCGACCGTACAGCAGCCGCCGCCGTCTCTCCCTCCTCCATCGGCAGTGCCCAGCGGCTGTCTCCCTCCGGCGGTCTCTCTCTCCGGCGATCTCCCTCCTCACGGTGAGCAACTCCCCCATCGGTCGCAATGTCTGAGAAGCCTTCCGTCACCGACTCAACGTCATCTTCTCCAACCCCGCACTTGGCGTTCACGACGATCTCGAACGTGAAGCTCCATGTGCCGATTCTCCTAAGCTTCTCCGAGCCCAATTACAAAAAGTGGAGCCGGCTCTTCCTCCTTCTCATTCGCAGGTTCTCTCTCGGTGACTTTCTCACCGGAAAATCGTCCCCCTCCAGCGCCGATGACTCGGAATGGTTCCAACTTGACGCCCTCATACAAGGTTGGATCCTCTCCACGGTCAATGATGAAATTTGTGAT